CCAGCACTGTCCCAGCACCCTAACATCTGTCCTCCCTCTCCTGATGGTGCAGGGGTGGGAAACAGGCTCTAGACTGGGATGGTTCAAGTCCCAAGCCCTCCTCTAACTCCCCAGGTGGCCTGGGCTGAATCATTTTTCATGTCTCTGGGCCACTTTCCTCATGCGTAATAGCTCCTGCCTCAGAGCCTCGGGGCTGGCCTCAGGACCATTTGTGCAAGGTAGAGCTGGTAACAATCTAATGTGGACAGAGTGGCCCTCACACAGTCATCTTTTTGGCATTTTACAGCTGCCCTGAGAGGCAGACACTATTGTCATCCCATTCTACAAGGGACTGCTGCAGCACAGAGCATTCAATTGACTTGTCTAAGGTTACACAGGTAGAAGTGAAGGAGCTGGGACTGGAACCCTGAAAGGCTGGGTTCCCAGGCTAGGAGCTCTGCTCTGTGGTTTTTAGCTGCCAATCAGTGCTTGACAGGCCTGAGGTCAAATCGTGCCTCTGCCACTACTGTTCATTGCTAGGCAAGTCACTCAACTCTCTGTAACCCTCAGTTTGCTCATCCAAAAAGCCCTTACAGCATAGTGTCAGTAAGAGAAGGGGACATGATAATGGGTATTAAACCACTAGCAAAAAAAAAAAAAAACAACCAGCAAAAAGCCAATGCTCAATGACAAGACAGCTGTTACTATTATTTAGTATTAGTTTTCCTTCCTTTTTCCTTAGGTGGTCATTTAAGGAGACCCTGAGGCTACTGCCCAGCTTGGGAGAGGGCCACAAAAACCAGGGCTGCTAGGGCACATAGAAGCCATGATGAAACTCATGGGTCTATCCTCTTTGCCAGGGGATTCACTAGTGCCCCCTGAGGTGGACTTTGATAGGCTGCTGGCCAGCCTGCAGGATCTCAGTGAGCTGGTGGTAGAGGGTGACACCCAGGTGACGCCAGTGCCTGGTGGGGCACGGCTCCATGCCCTTGAGCCCATCCCGCTGAAGCTCTACAGGAATGGCATCATGATGTTTGATGGGCCCTTCCGGCCCTTCTACGATCCCTCCACACAGGTAGGAGCTGGGGGTGGGGCTCTGGGGTCCCCTCCTGCCCACTGTTACATGGAGATGGTGGAGCCAGCTCACTCAGGCCCAGCCTGCCCCCCCACCTAGGCCCCCATCCAAGCCCTAGGGCTTCAAATAGTTCTAGAGTCTGAGGCACTGGGGAAGCCCAGGGCCCAGGGCCACCATCCAGGCAGGCAGCCGGCCTCACCATTCTTCTCCTCACTGCAGCGCTGTCTTCGGGACATACTGGATGGCTTCTTCCCTTCAGAGCTCCAGCGACTCTACCCTGATGGGGTTCCCTTTAAGGTGAAGGGCTGCTCCTCAACTTACCCTTCCCAGTGTGGGGATTTTGGAGAGAATGGGGAGAAACAACTTCCACAGCATCAGCCATTCTGAAGGGGGAGCCACCACCCCAGCACAGGGGACCTGGGTCTGATAAACTCCGGGAGAGGGTGATCCTGAAACTGGCTGGGAAGGGAGGGATAAGGCTGCCTGGCCAGGGGCAGTGGCAGGGAGGTCCTGCAGCTGAACAGCAGGCAGTGCCCTCTGGTGGCACCCCGAAGGCTCAGCCTTGGCCAGACTACTGCCTGCCCCTACTCCCCAGCATTCAGGACCCGGTGACTAGGTGACTATGACTATGCACAAGTGGCGGGGCTTCCCCCAGAGGCTCCTGAAGCCAACTGGTTGAGGTGGAAGGCAGAACTGTGAACCACAAATGCAGAGCAGAAGGGGCAGGTGCTAGGCCTCAAGGACATGAGCTTGTCATGGAAAGTGTGAGACGAAGGGCATCACCAAAAGGCCCATGAGGGCCCCAGTGGGTGGCAGGTTATTTCCACAGTGAGGGCGTGTAAGGGGGTGTGCACCACCATGGCTCAGAAAACTGTGTGATTCACAAGTGGGGGTGTTCAAGGTGTCTATGCCAAGACAAGGCCTCAGAGTTGTGCCTTGAGGAAGCACACTAGGTGACAAGGGTCTGGGTTGCAGACTAGGCAACAGCAAGGACTTTGCCTCTCTGGACACTCCTGAGAAGGGGGATCTCTGAGAAGGGTCAGTACTGTGGCTTCTGCAGGCATGAATGTGGAGTGCTTGCAGAAGCAAGGCCCAAGGAGGTGACAGAGGCATGACTGTGGTTCTCCTGCCTTCTCCCAGGGCTGCAGCCTCCTTGTCTGTAAAATGGGGATTGCATTAGACTATCCCTTGGGCCTGCTCTTGGGGCCTCGGGGCAAGCAGGGAAGGGAAGGAGGGTCCCAGGGCTGAAGAGCTGGGCTGGCTGCTATCACCCCTCCTTCCTGCCAGGTAAGTGACCTGCGCAATCAGGTCTACCCTGAGGATGGGCTGGGCCCATTCCCGGGTGAGGGCCGTGTGGTAGGCCGACCAAAGGTGCGCAAGGCTTCGGACAGAGTGGAGGAGCACCCAGGTAAGCTGGGCCCTGAGGCTGAGCCAGGTGGCTGGGGGGCTGTGTAGGAGAAGTTCCAGGTGGAGTCTCCCACCATTAATCACAGTTCCTCCCTGGGCCAAGTCTCCCAATGCCCTCCTCCCTGCAGGCTCCAGGATGACTGCTGAGAAATTTCTGAACAGGCTTCCCAAGGTTGTGATCCGACAAGGCCAGGTGATTGACATCCGGGGCCCCATCAGGGACACCTTGCAGGTGAGGCCAGCCCTAATTCCACAACCCTCTTGGGGGATCTTTACCACCAACCCTGGCCCAGCTTGCCAGAGCAGTGTCTTGCCTGGAGGCTCAGGCTTCTGGACCCTGCGGGATGGCCAGGATGGTGGGTCCCTCAGCGCTGTGCAGTGGTCTCTGGAAACTGCAGAGCTGCTGAAGGCTCTGCACTGAGTCCCAGAGAGCAGCCAGACTGGCTCTAAGGGGCTAAATAAAGTCAGAGTCCAGGCTGGGGGTGAGCCAAGATGCAGTCCTGGTATCCTTCCTGGTTGTCCCTGGCCCTCACAGAACTGGTTCTCTCTTCATCCCATCCTGCTGCTCTCTCAACTTCTCAGAGCATTGCTAAATTCTGTCAATTCTGTCTGGTCTGGCCATCCCTAGAACTCTCTCCATCCCCACTGCCCACACCCTAGGTTCTGGTGTGTCTCCCACACAATGCAACCTCCTCTGGCCAGTCTCCCGCCTCCATTCCCTGCCCCTGCCAGCCATCCTTCCCTCATAGCCTTCCCTATTGCAGTCTTCCAAGGATTCTCAGAGCCAAGTCCTTTATCCTGGCACTCAAGGCCTGTCCTGCACCACTGGGCCCCTCCCCACTTCTCTAACCTCCTCTTTCTTCCAGTCTAACCTGATTCCCGGCTTCAGCTGTGAACTGCTGGCAATGTCCCAAATATATCACCTCCTCTAGGAGGCTTTCCCTGATCTTAGGTGATCGGTGTCCCTGCTGTTAGGAACATCCCTGTCCTCATTCCACTTCCTAAGGACTCCTACTCATTCTGCAGTCTCAGCTCAGGTGTCATTTCCCTCAGGAAGCCTTCCCTGACCCCAGGTGGGTTAGAAATCTAGCCTGGTCATCGTCTTTGTGGGCTTTTGCCTCCCATTTGACTAATGGGGAGGCTTCTTGAGGGAAATGATGGGCTGCCTCCCAGAGCCTTCTTTCCTTTCCCTTTCCTTTCCCTCTCCTCTCTTGGGCCTCAGTTTACACAAACACCTTCATCCCTGCTCAAGGATGAGTCAGTCCCTTCCAAGGGTTGGATGACTCAGGCAAGGCCTAGGGCTCTGTCCCCTCTCCATTGATGCCTTCCAGAACTACTGCCCACTACCTGCCCGGATCCAGGAGACCATAGTGGAGACGCCTGCCTTGGTGGCTGAGCGGGAAAGGTGAGGGAAGGGTGGAAAGGTGAGGGTCCAGTGGGATTTGGCCACCAGGAACACTGAAGGCCCCTGGGCCTGCAGGAGTCAGAAGTCACCCAACACACCAGCACCCCCACTCTCCATGCTGCGCATCAAGTCTGAGAATGGGGAGCAAGTCTTCCTCCTGATGATGTGGCCCAATGACACTATTGGTGATGTGCGTGCCCTGCTAACACAGGCCAGGTGGGCACAGGGCAGGAGTAGGGGCTGCAGGGAGGCTCCAGCCCAATGGCTTGGCCTGATCCATTCCACTGGGCCCCCAGGGGCATGGATGCAGCCACCTTTGAGATCTTCAGTACCTTCCCACTCATGGTCTACCAGGACGACACACTCACACTGCAGGATGCAGGCCTGGTGCCCAACGCAACACTGCTACTGCGGCCATGCAGGGCCCCATTGTCTGACCCTGGCCCCAACTCCAGCTCTAGCCATGAATAAAGTGCCTGGCCCTGACACCATCAGCTCTACCAGGATGTTTTGGCAGGGCAGTCTGGAGGGGAAGGCAGAGGCCAGGGAGGGGTGGTGCTGACCCTCCCCTCGGTAACCTGAGCCTCATCTGGCAGGACTGGCTGCTGGGTCTTCGTCGTCTAGGTTCTTCTTTCTCCTAAGAAGGGAGGCTAAGTGGATCCTGTGAAGGGAAGGATCCTGAGGAGGGAGTTGCCAACCCCAGCTGGGTTTCCATTCTCAGCCTCAGCTGGGGTGGCAGAGCCTCACCTGGCAAGCGTTCAGTCAGCAGACACCTGTGTGCAGAAACACACAGACCCATAAGCTCATGGGGACACTTCCTCAATACTATGCACAAAGTCACTGCCAAACTATACTCATGCCTTCAAAATGACAGAACTGTGGCTGTGTACCCTTTCCCATGACACACCCACACTAACCAATCCAATCCAAGGGTGGGCAGCCCCAGGGCAGGCATGCAAATGGATACCAACACACAACTGTGACCTGGAGAGTGGACCCCACTGTCTCCAGAAACCATGGGTCCATACAGGCACGTGTGTGCCTGACATGCACTTACACACATGCTGAAGCGCCACACACGAGCACAGCTTTATCACAATTACTAGACTAACCCAGAGTGGGGACCTGGGATACCCAGGTCACAACTAGACAGACACTGCCAGTGGAATGGGCATTTAATTGTCTCTAAGGTACTCCCAGGAGAGGGAATGCGGGGCCTTTGGCAGAGCTCTGACTAATGGAACCAAAAGAAGTACCCATCAGCCAGTGCCAGACAGGGTGGCAGCCCCAAGGCCTGGCTGGGAAGAACAGCCTTTTAGGCTGTTGCTTAAGACAATTTTTGAGACTAGTGGGTAAAGGAATGTTGCCTTTGAATGGAGGAGAGGGGGCTACAAAGAGGAAGAAGGGGCCTAGGTTGGGGGAAGGGACTTCAAGATCAGGTTAGGGTCGACAGAAGTTGGTCACGGGGTCCTTCAAGGCGGGGCGAGGTCTGTGGGGAGAATGTGGTGCTGAGTCCAGCAGGGACCAGGAACTGGCTCAGTTCAAGCCAGCTTCAGGAACTCCTGTAGTGTGTTCTGCTCCACAGCCTCCACGAAGAGCTCATAGTCCTGAGGGGAAGGGGCAGGGGTAGTCACCTCAGTGCTGCTGCAGGAGGTACAGTACTGTTTTGTAGGTCTGACCCTGGCTGGAGTCCTCCAACAACACTCCCCTCACCCCCAATCCCCAGGGCCATACCCCACAATACTGGTCCCCGTTGACGATCTGGGGTGGGGTGGCCTTGGGGTTGCCTGCCAAGGCTCGCATCTCATCCCGCAGGGCGTTGTCCTGGGAGATGTCCACTAGCTGGTATTGGATGCGCTTCCCATCCAGAATGCGGGTCACCTCACTCTGCTGGGACTTGATCTGGGGGTCAAGGGTGGGCAGGATTAGTGGGCAGGCTGGAAGGCCTATGGGGAGTGCTCCGGCCGATGTGACCAGGGGCTTTTGTCTCTCTGCCCCCTGCCCACTCTACGAGAGTGTTCTGGCCACTAGGAGTTATGAGGGCAAGTCAGGCTTGAGGAGGCAGGGAATGAGAGGGGGCCCACCACCATGGGAAGGGGGTCAGAAAGAATGGAAGTGGGATAAAGTTCAGGCCGGGAGGGTCAGGAGCTCAGCCAGGGGAATGCAGGGCAGGTCTGGCTGGGGTAGCCTCACACCACGCACACAGCGAGAGCGAGATAAGGATGCAGAGGTAAGAGGTACAGACCATGTTTGTCCCAGTGGTGGGGGATGGGCACAGGTAAACCACGCTGGTGCTACTGAGGACCCAAGATACCCAGTGAAGGGGCACAGGATGGGGCTCGAAGACCCTGGATCCAGGAAGCCCCGCCCCATCCCCCGTCGTGGGGGCGGGTCCCAGGCGTCAGGGTCCACAGCACCGGGAAGCGGCCCGTGCTCTTCCCCAGCAGCGGCTGGTCGTGCACTTACTTCGCGGGAGCCAGTGACCGACGTGCTGTAGACGCGCAGGCCGCTCATGCTGCAGGCAGACGGATATGCAGACAAACGAGCCGGTGGTAGCGGCAGCTGCACGGTCAGGAGACTACGCTGCCGCTTTCGGGAGCGGTTTCCTTCCTGCTCCGCCCGCGAGTCACTGCTCTCGCAACCAATGGGTGGCGCAGGCGGGTGGGGCGGGGCCTGTGCGACACAACCCTTCGCGCTAGAGGACCCCGCCCTTCTACGGGTGACCATTGCAGTTGCGCCCCCCACCCCCCCTCAGCCGTAGCTTGATCTGGGGCTCACGATGTGAGGCTGGGGAGGGACAGATGGCAGTGAAGGCCTGGGAGAGAGGGGGCGAGGGTTTAGCAAAGGCCTCCCCGCCTCACCCTGGTTCTGGTACATCCACCTACCCACCAGTGCCACCCTTGTCTCCAGGAGGTGCTCAGCTTGGGACTTTGAGCAGTTTTCAAACAAAGTTCCTGGATAGAAGGCACACCAAAGCAGGGGCAGCCCTGCCAGGGATTTTCCCTACAGCTCCTCTCCACTCTTGCAGGCTTAGACAAGAAAGGGTGGCCACAGGAAGCGAGGACCACACCCACCAGGAGCCAGATTGAGACCAAGATACTAGGCTGCCGGCTGTGGGAAGTGTGTACACAAAGGTTGGTGCCAGGACTCTAGAGGCTGGGCTCAAGACAGCCCTTGTTCAAGATCCACAGCTGGTCTTGGGGTGGTCTCAATGTACCCATGACTCCATGTGCAGATGGCACCCCACAGCTGCTGCTACTCCGCAAGAGTCTAGGGAGTTCAGAGGGAGCAGACTCCCAACAGTAGCCCAACTTTGGACTTAGCTATGGGTCTGGTTGGACATAATGCCCCTCAGGTCCAGGCTCAGTTAACAGCCCAGGAAGACAGGCCCAGCTCTCTGAGGCAACAGTGCCTGCTCTGCTCTGGGGAAACCACTTCCTCACAGAAACCCAGAGGCCACACCCCACCCCCCCAGACTTGCTGAAGCTCTTTCCAATGGCAACTTACTCTATGACTTGGGGAAGCTCTGCCAACAAAGTGGTGAAGGAAGAGATCTTATTTGTCCCCACAGAAGAGCAAAGAAGCAGAAATGGTAGAGATAAGGATGTGAAGAAGTCCCTCTTTGCTGCTGTCTGTGGAACTTGGCTAAGTCACCCAGCCTTTGGCTCCAACAAGCCCAAAATGAAGGGTGTGGCAGAGGAACAGTATCGATGGAAAGCTATGAAAAACTGATGTGTCTGTTAAATATTTTATTTTGTAATCAAAATAGGCAATACAAACCAGTTGACATAACAAAGATTCATATAAATAACTGTTTATAAACTTTTTGAGGAGAAATACCCGTGAGCATGGTGGCTGGGCTCCCAACACAGGGTGGAGACCAACCGGGCAGCTCTGCTTAAGGAGGCAGGAGCCCAGAGGCTTAGGGGACAGCCAGCTGGGTGGGGCTGCTCTGAATGGAAGGGATAAGTCACTCCATAAATAAAACACAAACTTGTAAAAACACTTAAGAAGGAAGCTCATTCAGGCCTGAGTGAGGGTCAGGATGCTGCCAACAGCCCAAAGCTTTTTACCACGGCTGCCCCTCCACTCCTGCTCTGCTTTGCTCTCCATACCCAAACATGGCCCCTGCTTGGCCTGGCTCCAGATCTAGAGAAGACCTGGGGCTAACCCAACAACCAGACACTACAACTTGAGATGCTCCCTAAACCAGGAGGCAAGAAAAACCAGAAAGCAGAGGGTCCTAAAACCCCACACAAACAAACAACCCAGGAAACACTGAAAGTCACATCTTATAGCTGACCCATACTGGATACCCTGAACTCTTCATGGAAGTCAGAGCAGGAAATGGAAAAGACCCCCCTCCATACACCCCAAGAAGAGAGAGGCGCAAATCAGATCAGCCCTGCAGGAAGCAGCTTGAAAGTTGCCCTATGGTCTGGGATGGGGGGGTTTCAGCCTGATCCTAGAACCACAGAGAAGAATGTATTCAGAGTCCAAGAAAAGGGATGGCTGGAAGGCCTGAGAACACTGGAGGAGCTATGCTGACCGTATGGACATAGGGCAGCTGTGGAGTAGTCTCCTTAAAGATGGCACAGCAGGTAGATTAAGGAACCCTGGCTGTAATCCCTGGAGTCCTGATCCTAGTGGGAACTCTGCTAATGAACAGATCACCCTGAGGCTTCTGTGAGAATAAGAGCCCTGAGGAAGAAGCAGTGGGACTGGGCCTGAGAAACTCAGAAAGCCAGCTCAATTCCCAGTAAGGGGTCCATGGGGCCTGAGAATTCTCCAAATGGTCACTATTGTGCTTAGCCTTTTCAGGCTCTCTAAGGAGGTCTTGGTACCAGCAGGACCAAAGTATGGAATGGGAATGAATGTGGATTCATCCCAGAGGATAGAGAAAGGAGGTGAGCTGTTTGTTTGCCTTTGATGTCAGCCTAGGGCTTGGAACAATTTGTGAGGTCTTATCAGTAGAACCTGCGAGAAAGTTAATTAGTAACTCACCCTCAAAAGGGTGAATTAGGACAACAGGACAAACGCCATTCAATAAGGCAAAGCCAGAGTGGGAAAGGCAGGAATACTTCCCTCACTAGCTTGTGGCCCCCAGATGCAGGCTCTCTTCTCCTCCCTTCTGACTCTTCTCTGGGAGCAGCAGCAACAGACAGGATTGTCAGGGCAGGGACCTCCTGGCCAGGCTCTCAACAGCTCAGATCTCCCCCACCTTCCAGAGAATATAGCCTATCTCACCCCCAGCATGCCTCACTGTGTGGCACAGTTTTCTCCCATGTCCTGGGCATATCTGTCTGACATGGTGGTCCTTAAATCCTCGATGTCATGGCGCAGCTGCTGAACCTCTTCTAGTTTCTTCCTGATCACATCTGGCTTCTGCAAATCTAGCTGAGTCCCTGGGTGCTGTGTGGCTGAGGAGGAGAACATTTCAAGAGTGTTAATAAGTCATTTGGGAGATACTTTCATGTGGAAGGGGCAGTATTGACAGGCAGTATCTGAGGCCCATGATCTTATGACTTAGCATTTCCACCCACCAGTAGTGAAGACTGAACCTAGGGCTTCAGACATGCTAGGCAAGTACAGTCTACTTGCCTACTGATCTACATCCCAGCCTTCAGACATGGCACTTTTAAAAAAGCAGCTGGGGACATTGCTTAAGGCCAACTTTGTCCTGCTTGCAAGCACCCCTTAAAGGAACCTGTTCACAAAAGAGATTTATTGAACACTTACTCTGTGAAACACATAAATCTCAGGGAGATTAGTAACTAGGCCTATGCATCCTGTTTGTATATTACCATAATGATAAGGAGAGCTGGATGGGGATAAGAGAATTAAGTTCCCTCTTCTCAGGGGTCCCCGACTGGCCTGAGGACTCACAGTGAATGCCCAGGAGCAGGGAGAGATTAGGGTCGTGGCCTTGGGCCCTCTGGGTCACAATGCTGCAGACGGCCTGCAAATCTTGAAGGCAACTGGCCAACTCCTGGTATAGCTCAATTGCCAGCTGGGCTGTGTCTGGTGAAGATGGGGACCCTGGCTGGGCCTGGCGCAGCTGTTCCTGCAGCGTCAGATTCTTCTCAATCAGATCCTGGTTTTGCACCGAGAGCTGAGCAGACAGATGGGTAAACACATTAACCCAGGTTCAGGAAAAGGCAGAGTGTCTGCATTTATGTGGAGGTGTAGATTTATGTATGTGGAGGTAAGGGTACGAGTCCTAGGCGATGACCTCTTCCTACTACTAACAAGCTTAGCACCCCTGCCCCCACCTCCTACACCAGGCCTGCTTCCTCCTATGGGCAGGCTGGGCCCACAGGGATCCAGCACTGGAGAGGAAGTTGTTCCTCAGCAGCCTCTGAGTCATCAGCCTCCAGGTTTCTGTCCAGGAACTAGAGAAGAAGATCCTGCCCTAGGAACTCTATCTGAAGCCAGTCCCTCAGCCAACTCTGTTAGCCAAGCTATTAGAGATGGCCTAACGTGAACAGTGAAATCTGAGGAGACACTGGTTTCAATCTCTCCCTGTCACCCTGACAAAAATGGCTACCAGCCAGCCTGATCACAGGCTATCAGAGGAATAAAAGGGGCAAATAAGACAATATGACAGTTAGTTGCCACTGGGTGTGCAGCTGGGGAAGGTAGAGACTGAAGGACAAAGAACTGAAGGTGTCCTGCCTTTTCAAACCCTCAGCTCAGTGGAGACAGGCTTCACTACACAGACCAGCTATTCATGCATACCCTTGGCTCTTTCCCTCCCTGTTTCTGACAGCCTAATCACCCTTTCTCCTCCCTTCCTACCTTTATTGTTTTAGATTCTGAAGTTCTTTTCTAGCCCCTCCCCTACACCCCCACTAAATCAGGTGACAATCCTAGCTCTGGGAGACTCCTTCCTAGGCACTTAGCACTTGGTGGCCCTCTACTGATAGCTCGGTTGACTGCATGAGGATTACCAAACCATCAGTTTTAAGTCTTAAAACACTGCCTCCCCAAACCCACAGACCTGTGGCTGTGGGAAGACAAAAGGGAGAGAGAATGACTTCCACAACTGAAAGGCATTTCTGGGTAATATGACCAGGAATAATAATAAAGGTTTAGGGTCTTTAACAAAGAATGAAGCAATGTATCTTCCCATTCCTTTGCTTAAACATCTCAGTAGGCACCTCTCCAACGCTGGGGTTCTTATAGGGGCAGGGTTAGGTAATGTACACAGAGAAGTCAGGTTTGTGGAGGCTGTACCAAGGGGCATGGCCAGTGCTACTCACCTCTTTCACAGCTGTGCGCAGCTGCTGCAGGGCTGTCTCCCTCCGCTGGGCCTCCTCTCTCAGAGCCTGGCTTGTTCCATCTTCTTGAGCTAGTTCTTGCTCTAGGCTCTGAATTCCACAGCAAGTGAAAACACCCAGGAGTAACAAATCGGTTCAGATCATATCATCTCTGGCCTGGACTATTACAGGAAGTCCTACCCTACTCACACACTGCTGCTGAGATTGTTATTACTATCATTTTTCCTGGTAGTGGGGATAGTGGGGCACTCTACCATTGACTACACCTTTGGACACCCCTCTTCTTTTTGGTACCAGGGACTGAACCCAGGAGCGCTCACCACTGAGCCACATCCCTAATCCTTTTTATTTTTTA